GGCTGGTGGCAGCAGCAGTCACCGTGTTTCTGCTTCATGCTTTCCAGGAATTCACAAGCCACCCAGCCATTTCCAGCACATTTGTGTTGGCTCTGGGGCTGGAAAGGGACTTTGCATGCAACACCGAGCTTTGTCTTTCCTATCTCCATGAAACCCCTCTCTGAGTGCTTGGGAGCTCTTGAGTTGACACCTCTGCAGAGGAAGATTTCACTTCCCTCGTGGCTGTCCCTGTCTGGGTGAACACAGAAGTTGTCAAAGTTCGCTGTCTTTCCAGGTATTGTCCCAGACCATAACCCCGATGATCCCACGTGACATGGAAATCCCCAGGGGTGAGGATAAGGGTAGACCTTTTCCTTGAATTTGTTACATGTTATTTGGAAAAGGGCTAATGAGGGGAGGGCTGGAGAGGATAAATGGCAGCTCCTCCTTGCCTGAGCTCACAGTTGAGCTCTGAAGAGGCAGAGCAGTACCCGGAGAGGAAGAGCCTTCCCACAGCCACCATGTTCCCTGCAAGGACAGTCCTGCTGCTCGTGATGCTCCTCACCCTCTCCCCACACTCCAGTGCAGGTGAGACACCTCATGGGCCACCACTTCTGGTCGGGACTCAGGGTCATTCCACCGGGGTGGTCAGGCAAGAAACCCACCAGGTGGAGCAGGGATGGGGCTGCTGGCAGGAGGAGCAACCCCCTGGCCAGGGCAGAGCTGCACATCCCGGGGGGCAGGGAAGGAAGGAAACTGTTCCTGGAGCTGGGTGGTTTTGGCAGAGCTGCTGGAGGGCTTTTGGTGCTGGATGATAACCTGGAGCACCCTCCTCTCCTGCCCAGGGAATGAAGGAGGAGGGCAGCTGGGGGTCCTCGTGGCAGCATTTGCAGAGTTTGGGGGATGCTGTGTGTGTCAGCCTTGTCATGGGGGAAGGTCCTAAAGACAAACTGCCTTCCACAGCCAGTGTTCACAGTCTCTCTTTGTCTTCTACAGCCCCTTATTCTCCATCTGAGTGCTGCTTCCATTATGTAAAGGGTGCTCTCCGACTGGCAAACCTGAAGGATTACTATTCAACTTCCAGGGAGTGTTTTTTCCCAGCAATTGTGTAAGTCCTGGTAATTTCCCCACTGCTGTGCTGTTTCCTGAGCCAGCACAGGTTCAGTTCATCTGCAGACAGGACAGGGCCAGGTCTGTGTAGCCTCCATGGTTTTCCAGCATGAAGAGGGGAGGGCACGACTGTCTGGGCACTTCTACAGGGCAGAGTTTAGGACGTGAGTCCACTGCAGCTCCTGAAGGCTCTGCACAGGCTCTAGAGGTGCTGGGCTGCAGCATGAGCTGATTGTAGGACACCAAGTACCCAGGGGCAGCGTGCAGGGCCAAAGGGAATAGAGAAGGATCAGGGAGGGAGGATGGCATGGGCATGAGTGGGATTATAGCTGTCATTTCTCACAAAGCTTCACCTTTAACCTCGGCAGGTTTAAGACCAAGAACGGGACCAAGGTCTGCGCAAACCCGGAGGAGCCCTGGGTGCAGAGAGCAGTTGGGAAGCTCCAGAAGAGGAAAGAACTTCGTGCCCCATGATGTAGAGTGGGTGCCCTGGTTAAGGCTACCCAACATCCTGGTGGGAAGGAAGGTCTATAACCATCCTCCCAGAAGGGAATGCAGAGGTCCTGGCTGCTGGTTGGGGACACTGACTCCCCAGAGCCCTGAGCCGTGTCCACCAGCCGGGCACCAGCCCCTGGAATGCTGCTGGTCCTGCCAGCACCTGCCTGCTGATCTCAGCCACAAAATAAAGTTTAGTTCATGTGAGATTGGAGAGTGGTGTCCTTTCTTCTCCCAGCCCCACAGCGCTGCTGCTGCTGCCAGCAGGTCGAGGCATGGAGCTGGCCAAGGGGCTGGGGTGGGATGGGGGCTCTTCCCACTGAGTCTCACTGGGGCAGGCAGGGAGGGGCATGGATGGCACTGTATGGATGCAGGGCATTTGGGTACTCGCTTCAAGGGGGCTGGAGACTCACCTGAGGGCTTTTAGGTGCAAAAATGGGCCCTTAGAGGTTTCAGCTCGTCCCTTGTGCTGCCCTGTGCAGGAGCACAGCCTGGCTGCCACATCTGCCCCAGGACTGTGGTGTCTCTGAGCTGTGCTGCAGAGGAAGGGTTTCTCTGCAGACCTCCCTGGTTAGGGAGGACAGACAAGGGATGCTGAAGCAGACAAGGGATTCACCAACATACAGCCCTGGAAATCCCACCCCTGCCAGGATCCCTGGTTGCTCAGCAGCGATCCCTGCCAGGGTTTTGGGATGGGGAGGAGAACTGCAAGGGCAAGAGTGAGGGAAGTTATGGGCTGGGATAAAGACAGTTTAATAAATAAAGCAAAAGCTGCGCACACAAGCAAAGCAAAATAAGGGATTCATTCACTCCTTCCCACCCTCAGGGAGGTGTTCAGCCACAGCCAGTGGAGCAGGGCTCCACCACGTGTGACAGAGACCTGGGGAGACAAAAGCTGTGATTCTGAACGTCTCCACATCCTTTCTTTTCCTGTGACTGTTCAAGTGTGGGGGGGAGGGGGGAAGAAAACCAACCCAAAAAAACCCCCCACCAGAAAAACCCACCAAGTCACAAAAAAGCCATCACTTACCACCAGCCGGATGATGCTCAGCCAGTCCCTGAACAGCTGCCACCTTGAAAGCCCTGCTGTCAGCACTCCCAGCTCTTGGGGAAGGGGATTTTGGCTGCAGCAGCTCCAGGGATGCTTTCACAGCAAAGGCAAACCCCACCCAGAGCTGAGGGATACCCCTGGCACACTGCGGGTCTGGGAACCGGAGGTCTCATGGGCAACAAGAGGCAGGTGGAGCTCTGTGGGTCCACCAGGAGAAGCTCCAGCCTGAGGAAGCCTCTTAAACTGTTGCCTTTATCCTTCCTGAGCTTTCAGACTGTGGAGTCACCCTGTTTGCTTGGACTTGGTGCCCTCTCCTGACAGCTGTGGCATGGATGCAGCACAGGCCTCAGCACCAGCCAACGTTTATCACACACACCTGTACTCTGTTAAACTATTAACTTCCATGATTACCCACTCAAACCCCAAGAGATTATATGAGTCAGAGAATATTTCCCCATCTCTACATTGCTTTGGGGTTTTTTCATCCGTGCCTATCCCATTTTAATTCCTGAAGTGAGGTTTTTCCTCAGTCAAAAAATTTGTATTCAATTGTTAATTATTAGTGAGGTTGCAGGTGGTTTGGACAACCATAAACTCCTGTGCACAGCCTGTCTCCCCTTGTTCTCTCCACACAGAGGGCTGCTTGCCTTTACATTTGCCTAACAAGGAGCACCTGGAGAGCAGGCTGGAGAACACCTGGAGAAGAGGCTGTGCCACCAGTGGGAATGGCCTGGAAGGTTGCTGGGAGCACCCCAGGCACTGCAGGTTTGAAGAGCATGGAGAAGACTAAAGCCAAACCTGAAGGTTCACTGCTGGGACAGGGACACAGAGGGAACCCCAGTCCTTCAGAGCTTTGTGGAGCCTCTCCAGGCCCAACGTGCACTAATTTGCTTTATGAAGGGCAGATAGTGGAGGCATCTATTAATGCTTCCTGTAGGACTGGGGACAAGAATAATTAGCTAAGGGAAAGGAGGTGCCTCAGACAAGCCTGAAAAGGGAGCTCAGGGCTTGGCACGTAAGGTTTTCTGTGCCAGGAGATGGCTGAAAAAGCTATTAGCTCGGTTCTCCCTTAATTACAGCCCTTTGCTTGTAACCCATGCCCAGGAGGTGGTGTGACTCTGGCAGCTGCTGGGCTTGAGCGTCTGTACATCAGAGACATGGCAGGAGCTGCAAAAAGGAGGGCAGAAGAACTGGGGGGGATGCAGAGTCCAGAGAAGAGGACTCAGGAGCTCCTGTGTGTCAGGTGTTTTCTGTCTGTAGAGCCCTTTCCTGGGGAAAGCAGCATCAGAACCCAGTGGTGCTGTGCCCAGCTCTCCACATGGCCACCCTGGCCCGTGCCAGGCCACCAGACCCCATGTTGTGTGGGCTATTTCTTCTAAATCAGAATTTTCTGCACATTTGATTTGTTTCCTTCTCCTTTCTTCTTACAGAGAAGTCAGCGAAAGTGTTCTTACAGCGAACATGAAATAATCTTCAAGGAAGTCCATTTCTACCTCTGTTCTCCTCTGAGAAGCCCTGGCTTGCCTCATCCCCAAGCCACAGCCAGGTCCCCTCCTGTGCTCCCAGGGAACCTGTGGGGGTTCCCAGTGGGTCCTCCCCCCCTCCTCACACACAGACCATCCTCCCCTCCCTGGGAGCAGATCCCTGCATGGAAGCTGGGCTGGTGGTGCTGCTGTGTCTGTGCCACCTGCCCCTCCTGCCCTTTCGCTCCTCTCTGGGCTCTGGGATGACTCTCCTGGGGCTGTAGTAGGGTTTGCCCCATCTCCCTGCAGAAATGACCTGTCTATACTGATGGCCACAGGCCTCCATCCTTCTGACCCTCATTTTGATCCCAGTGCTCATATGGGAGGCAGAGGCAACACTTGGGCTCAGACTTGTGATCAGACCCAGACTCTCCTCAGACACCCCACTGCCACTGCCCTATTTTTTTCCCCTTCTATAAAGTCTCCTGAACCCACCAAAAGCATCTCTGCCACCCCCTGCTCTGAGGTCCCTGCTAGTTTGGTCCAGAATGGCTTTTTCTGCCTGACATCCCATCCCAGAGTGCTTCACTGACTAACCCAACACCCTCTGTGTGGCTGGGGTGGCCAGTTTGGAGGGAACTCATTAGTCACTTAATTGGCCAAACCAATTAAACCCACCTGTGACTCGTTCCTGCTCAGACTGTGGGTCGTCTCTCCGGTTAGAAATAAGCAGATGAGCATTGGACCTGATGTTCTCTGCCTTCATGGGAATATGGGTTAATCTGCTTTCCTGAGTAAATTTCAGTTCTCCCAGAGCCTCCTGGAAGCCCCTCACGGCGTCACGGCTTCCGCAGAAAGCAGAAGTAGCCGCCCCCCTCCTCCTCGACCTTTTCCACCCCCCCACTGGATGTGTCCCAAAAATAAACGACAGAAACCCCCTCATCCCTGGGAAGGGGCTTCTTAGAACACGTCTGAAGTTTTTGGAAGAGCAGCCCGAGGGGGCGGGATGAGGAGGATAAATTACGGAGCAAGGGGAGCCAAAGCCACGGACATCGGGCAGGGCAGCACAAAGGACAGAGGAAGAGCCCTCACGCAGCCACCATGGCCACTGCAAGGACAGTCCTGCTGCTCACCCTGCTCCTCACCTTCTCCCTGCACTGTGCCACAGGTAAGGCACCTCGTGGGCCATTGCTGCAGGTCCGGGCTCGGAGTCCCCACTGGGGATGTCCCACTGGGGAGGTTGGGCAGGAAAGCCCAGCAGGGAGTGGGAATGGTGCTGCTGGCAGGAGCAGCAACCCCCTGGTCAGGGCAGGGCAGGGCAGCACATCAGGGATGCAGGGATGGATGGAGAAGGTGCTGGGTGGTTTCAGCGAAGCCGGCCCTGGGGAGATGCTGCAGGAGCCTGGGGGAGACTCTGGCAGCCGTTCCCCAGGTCTCAGCTGGATGAGCAAGTGGTTGGAGCGGGGGGGAGCACGTTCAGCTGTTTGGAGCCTCCTAAAACACCCTGCAAGTTGTGCCCCCACCTTGGAAACCCCCAAAACCTCATCCCCAGAGCGAGCAGCCCGACCTTACCGTGCGCTCTGGTGGCTGCAGCAATACGGGCTGTGGGGTGCCGGGTCCTGTGCTGTTCCCCTCCCCACCATTGTCCACATCCCAGTCCTGTGCTTGCTGCCACGAAGGGAAGCAAATCCCTGCTGTGGGATCCTGCAGGAGCTGCTGAGAAGCTCCACAGTTCCACACCCTGCGGTGTCACTCTCTGGTGATGCAATTAGTTGCAAAATGCTGCCAAGGCTGTTTAAAACATCCCTCCCTTCCCTTCCCAGCCCACTTCAGACCCATCGAATGCTGCTTTGAGTACGCAGAGAGACCCGTCCGACACGTGCAGAGCTACTATGAGACCCCCATTGACTGCCCTATGCCTGCAGTTGTGTGAGTATCCCAGGGATTGCCTCCCACCCCGGCACGGTGGGGAGCTGGAGCAGCTCTTCCTTCCCATCCCACCCTGCAGATGGCTCAGTCCCAGCCAGGGGCATGTGCCTGGAGGGGGCTGTGGCAGGAAAGTAGCTCTAGGGTGGGCAAAGGGGGGGAAAAATAGGTTTTAGTGCTTTCTGCTTAAGCCAGTGGTCTGGGAAGACTCAGACACACACCATCAGCCCAAGGAGGCCATTGGACTGCTGGAGATGATTCCAAGCCTCCATCCAGGATGGGGCTGCACAAGGGAAGGGGGGAATGGGAAGGGAATGGCTCACAGTTCACATTTTCACTCTTTTTCCTCACCTTCTCCTTGCAGGATTGTGGCTGCCAGAGGTGCCAAGATCTGTGCTGACCCCAAGAAGCGCTGGGTGGAGAAAGCCATAGAAAAGCTTCAAAAGAAAAAATGAACTCCATCCACCATCCCACTTGCCCATCCAGTCCTCCTGTCTCTGCTGTGGCAGTGGGCACCACCACTGCAGGTGGAGCCAGCCCGTACCCTGGCAGGATCAGGTGTCACCACATTATGGACCAGCCGGCCACCAAGCTCCTCCTGCTGCCCCTGCCCTGCCAGGCTGTGCCAGTGGAGCAAATATTTATAATAAAGACTCATTGATATAAGTTGCTGTCTGAATTTTTCCTGATTCTTCCAGCCCAAGGAGCAGATCCTACAAGCCCAGGGGATGGTGTGACCCAAAAAAACCTCTGCCACAAGCACAGGTTTCTCCGGGCTGGGAGCAAACTGTGCCTGGTCACAGTGTGCTTCATTGGGAATGTGATAGCAGAGCCAGGTCGTGACCCATAGGTCAAGGACACGGAGGTGAGGTTACCCTTGCCCCTAGGTAAGGCTGTACATCCTCAGAGCACGCTCACAGCCCCACGGGCTTTGCAGGTGCTCCAGAATTAAGGGATCAGCAGTGGAGGGTTCCGGGAAAAGATACTGATCTACCAAACCCTTAATACCTTGTCAGCTTCCAAATGTGCTGGTGGCCACTGCAAAACATCTGAGGGACACGAGAAACAATATCCAGTGTGCTGGGAGAGTGAGGACACAACCCCCTTGAGATGGGCAGGGAGGTGTCCTGGCTGCCTGTCCCCCTGCAGGGCTGGGGAGGGGTGGGAGCAGCATGGCATCCCAGACGCTCACACCAGGCTGCTGGTCCATCACCTCATGGGAGAGGTGCAAATCCACATGGGAGAACCACAGAAAGGTGAAGGCAAGGAATGTGGCAAGTGCCACAGACTGATCCTCAGCCCAAAGCTTCCTCAGTGTTTCGTGCTCCGTCACAGAACACGGCAGGGCTGTATTTTCTAGGATACCGAATGGCATGGGAAAAACATCCCCAGTGACATTTCTGCCCGCAGGTCATAAGCACCATGGGATGAAGCTGAAGCAGAATGTGATGCTGGGGGACAAACATCCCATGGATTGTGCATCCCCTGTCAGAAGGGACACGAGCTGCCGGCCCCGTGATCGCCTTCCCTGGCAAGCACAGACTGACAAAGCACACAGCTCCACATCGGCTCTTGCACATGGATGTGTATTTTAATAAAAATAATTCTGTCAATATACAGCAGAATGTCGATTTTTTTACCATATTTCCAGTATATTTTCATAGGCTTTTTCTCAGTTAAAATCCCCCCCCAATCCCCTTTTCGAAGTTTTCATGCGAAGCGTCAGATAACTTAATTCACAAATACTAAGCTTAGACTGAACCAATGTGCACAGTTTGTGTAATGTCCATTTAGCCAATGTTGTACCAAAGAGGAGGAACTCCCTTCCGAAGGCGATGAGAAGCCTGGAGTGGCACAGGGAGATCTGCCCGGCACCGGCCGCTCCTCCGGGGCTGGTGGGAAACCTGCAGAGACCTTGCACCCCCTGCTCCAGCCGAGCATTTCATACCTGAGTTTTGAGCAACCAGCAGGAGAGGAGTTCACTGCGTGGTGGGCAGGTCCTGGGGCTTGCCCTGCTGCGTGCCAGAGCTTCAGGTGCTGGCAGCCTCCTCCTGCCTCCCCCGGCTGCAGAGCCGTGAAGAGCGTGCACAGGCGGGACCGAGAGACAATCCCAAGCCAAGCCCTGTGCAGAGTCCTTGGTCTGGAATTCACCATAATTGTATTTTTCGAATTTTCTTTAAAATCTGGAGTATCCCCAGAGCTGCTGCTGTTTCTCCTTTCTCCAAGTTTGAGCCAAGTGTGGAAGCCCAGCCTGCGAAAACCCCTCTGTGCTCCCTTCTGGAGGAAGGGTGCAGCTGAGGTCCTCCCAAGCAAAAGAGGTCTGAGCAAGTGCCTCGACCCAAATGGAGTGACCAGGGTCTGCCTGGCCAGGGGATATGGAGCAAGGAGCAGAGGCTTGCATGACCTCCAGGAATCCTTCTGTGGTGATGTGAGTGTAAATCCCTCATGGGACTCGAGGGCTTCCTGCAAGCAGGAGAGAGTTAAGCCTCCCTCCTGGAAAGAAAACAGCCGGCAGGACACGTGCTCCTCAAGTCTGGATGATGCCCTGGCTTGCTGGGCACTGCTACAGCTCAAGCTGCAGGCTCTGAGCTCTGTGGGACGTGGGGAGAGGGACAGACATGCCCCGACCAGCCATCCATCACCTGCCACCTCTTGTTGCAGGAAGGATGGTGGAGAGCAGCCAGTGCTGCCCATGAAAGAGGCCTCCAGGTTCTCAACTGCTCCCTTTTTCTCTCAAATCTGCTGTAGCTCCTCCCAGCTCCCTGGCAACACTTCCTCCAGCTCTCTGCCCTAAACAGCCGATGTGACAAGGCTCACAGCCACCTCTGTCTCTTGAGTAAGAACTGCTGGACTGCAGTTCCCTCCATCACTCATTCCTCATTCCTGGCATGTCCTTCCCAAGTCTTTCTGCAGAAACACCTTGGGACAGACGTGTACAGCTGGAGACCCAACACTAGCTCTCTACAACAGACCTACTGCCTCCCCAACCCACCACTCAGGCTGCTCTCACACTGGCAGAGTGGGAAGTTGCTCCTTCTGCAAAGGGGACTCCTGGGTGGACCAGGGCCTTTTCAAGGTGTTCCTTCTCTCAGGCTGTGACCAGCTCCACGGGGCCTCACTGCACCCAGGACTGAAGCATGATGGACCCCTCTCTCCATCTGCTGCCCGTGGGGCAGTTCAAGTCTGCACTCTGCTTCTTCATGGGAAGAGCTTCCCAATCCTGTCTGGTGCCCCACACAGCTTCACAGCATTTACAGGCTGCTCTACAGCCTGACTGCCAAGGTTCACCTTCTCAATCAACCCCACAAAGGCAGAAGAAACTCTGAAACTTGCATCTAAACAACAGTTGCTATGTATTAACACAGACAGGTACCAAAGCACAGCAGCAATCCAACCTGGTTTGCTTTGCTGAAGGAGGAGATGGTTCATCATCCCTGATGCCCAAGGTGGAAAATTACATACTCAATCCCCAGAACTAGTTCCAGCAGCTCTGGTTGCTCCAGTTGTTCAAGGGAGACTCAAGAACAAAGCTATTTAAAGAATGGTAAAGATGCCTTAATAAAACGTGACAAACAAGGACAAAGCTTGAGGACAGGTTGAGATGTCACTGTGAAAAACCAGAAGGAAAAAGGAAGCATATGGAAAGATCCTAGGTGAAGGTAACCATGAGGAATGATACTCCTGGAGGGGCCCATCTTCCACCCCAGTCACAGCTCCATCTCCCAGTGTCCAAACCCAGTTGGCAGCAGCACAGTGAGAACAACCAGGACGCTGGAAATAGCAACAAGCTGTAGCACCCATAACCAACACATCTTTTATATGTCCCAGGGCAACGAGTTCCAGCTCTGGTACTCACAGGGGGATGGAGGGGAGGGAGAGCAGCCACCAGACAACCTCCCCTCAACAGCTGGATGCTGCATATTGTGCAGTGCTTCACTTGGGAGTCCCTCTCCATTCTGCTCCCTGCACACAAGGGCTCAGTTCCTAACCAGACTCCAGAAGAACAGCAGAATTGCTGCAGCCAGACCAGCTGCAGGCTGATGGGATCCTGTATGGTGACAAAAAGGGACTGTTGTGCCCAGATCTGCCCCTTTAGGCCAGCGTGGCACAGCAAGCCTGGGAAGGGCAGTTGGTGTTGCCATGCCTGTGCTCGACACAGACACGAGCCACAGAGCTGGCCCCTGGTTTGGAGCAGCTCCCACAGCACCCAGCAGGCAGATACCACTATTGGTGGTCATGAAGCTGGGAGAATACTGGGACTGTGGGAGGCAGACAAGCAAAAAGGGAGAGCTGGTAGCAGCAAGAAGTTTTCCCAAAACAAGCTGGCTCTGAGAGCACATTGAAGGATGCAGGGGAAACAGACCTCCCTACTCATGAGAGGGCTCATCTGAGACCTCATTCAACCTTCTAAGTCTTGAATTAGCTTTTGTTAAATACCTGCTAGGGTAGGCTCATGGAACATCCAGAAGAATCATCTGGAACGAGATGGTTCCAAGGGGAACACGAGCCAAGAGAAACAAGATTTGGCTCCCCTGGTACAGGAGGGATGTCTACAAACTCAAATGCATCCAGCACAGGCCACTAAGATGCTCACAGGCTGGACTACTATGTGTATGAGGTGGATACACCTCCCAGAAACCTTTATCCCAAACACTCCAGTGCACCTCACTCCAAAGTTCTTCCAATGCATTCTTGATGCTCTCTCTTGCTGCTCTGGGAGAAGAGCATGAACCCTTCTCCACAGGGAGAAAAGCCTGGTGATGCAATTCAGCTCCATGAAGACGTCTCCACAGAACCCCTGAAGGACACTTTAACCAAGGCTCCAGGTCTGGAATTCCCAAAATGTTCTCAAAAGGCCACTTAACAGTCAGGGCATTAGGCTCAGACCCAAAGCCCAGGATGTGCAGGGCTGCTGTTCACCACCCTGGAAAACAAGTTTTCACTAGGTCCCTGTGAAATGTTATCCTTCTGAGAGGCCCTCACTGCAGTGCTGAGTTTGAGGAAGGCAGGTGGAATGGCTGGTGCCCAGAGTGTGTTTGCCACTCTACAGATCACTCTGGGTGGTGCCTCTGGACTGATCAGGGGAGAGCTGAGACTCTCCGAATGCGCAGCCACAGCAGAGCTGGAAGAGGTTTCTCCTGGGAGCAGTGACCAGGTTGCCTGAGGTACTTGGAATAACAAATCCCAACTTTTATAGAAGTACTTTTGAACTGCATGTAGCCTCTGTTCAGGTGGACAGCCATGTTCAAAGCTGAAAATCCCAATTGACTTTAGTTCTGCTTTTTAAAATTACTGCAAAAATCATGTTTCAGCCAGCATGAACCATCAAAGAGCAGCCAGGGAGATTCAAAGGCAACAGGCTTTGAAATACAACCTGGGAAAAGCAAGCCAGAAATCCCACCTAGGAATCAGGGGTAGGTGAAGGCCTACACCCCACCACACACTGCAAACAATGCTGATCTTCTCCATACTGAGTCATGGCCACGTTAGTCAGAATCTGAGCAAAATAAGCAGAAATCAGTAGTGAAACCACCAGACCACTTGAAATAAATGAAAAAAACCCAAGTAACATTCATCACGCATTTCCTGGTACCAGAATAACCAGATATCTAGGAACATCTCTTGTTTTGGGGCTTTTTTTTTAACAGTGAAAGGGAAACCAAAAAAAAAAAGATGCTCTAGGACAGTCAGCACAGCTTTGCTGGGAAACCAAGTGGGGCATTACTATGACGCAAGATGAAAAGTCTTGGCTTAAAGAAACCACAAAGAGAAGGAACTCAGAAACCTCAGAAAGAGATAGTGTTGCTACAAAGATGAGAAGTCTGATTGCAGCCAGACTGCTGCAAGCTAAACAGGGACCAACAGCAGAGGATGTTGCCAAACGTGAAAGGCAAAGCCAGGTACTGAGTTTTTCCAACCTCAGCACCCACAATCAGCCCAGCAGTGTGCCCTAAGCCTGGGTCTAAGGAATGAAGAGCCTGCAGGAGAATCTCACCAGGCCAAGTTCACAAGCTGCCTCAGGCTCTGGGGCCCAGTGGGCTGGGACAGGCAGCCCTGGCACATTTGGGATCAGAGGCTTCAGAAAGGAAACCCGTCCACTGAGTTATCTCTGCACTTGCAGCAAGGCAAGGACTGCAGGCTGGGGCAATATCCATCTGCAGGCCAATGAGGAGAGCTGAACATCAACAGGTGAGCTTTCAGGCACATCAGGCGTCTCCCAGAACTGACAAGAAGCCCCAGATTTCCAAGTTAAATTCCTTCTGCTTAGTGCAGCCCTCTGCCTCTGTCTCCCTAGGAAAAGCCTGTGGTAGGCAGAGTTCCCTCTGTTTTTTTCAGCTACACGAGTTAATCTGATCGAAATATCTCCTCCATCTCCAGACCTCCAGCTGACTGTTTTCTTAGGCCACCATGGCTCTAGCACTGCCTCTACACACTGTACACCTTCATCAAAAGGTAGGGATAGCATTCCCAACCACCTCCAACACCATCTGCACATTCCCTGCCACAGTCATCTTCTGCAGTGCAGGAGACACCCGACCCCTGCCCTGCCTGGATTTCAGACCTCACGTGCCAGCTGCAAACCCAGCCTAGCTCAGAGGTCACACACCACTTTCCCTTCTCAGTGGCACACAGGCTCTCTTGTTGCTTCAATTCCTGGCACAGGCTAACCTCTATTTTAAGGGCAAACCTCATCCCAACCTGTTCATCTTTCACTGAACCTTCAAAAAAAAAAAAAGTAGAATTGGTGAACAGCAGTAAAAGTCATGTTCATTTTGAGCTCCCCTGGGTCCTCCCCAGAGCTGCTGACCTAAAATTCATTTGGTGCAGAACTGCAACTCCTGCCACGCAGCCAGGCTGAACCTGCCATCTCTAAATGGTACAGCAGAGGATGCAAAGCACATGCTGGTGCTGCCCACAGCCTCACCAGGTAACAGTACACACTCAGAAACACAAACAGGTGCTTTAAATGCTCCGTATCACTCGAGTCCCTGGGCCTGACACCACAGCACAGACACGTCAGTCCATCTTACTTGGAGGTTACTCACCCACAGATCTCTGCTGGTCTCCTTTGGGCCTGAAACTTCAGTAATTATCTTAGTAATCCTTAAAGAAACATTGCTGCTCTCTCCTGAATGGCCCAGGCCTGGCAAAGCTGGTACTGACCCCAACCCACAAGCTGATGTCGGCATGTCCCACCTGAGAGGGTGAGCACAGCTCAGCCCAGGCTTCTCAAGACACTTCCAAAATTCAGAGACGCTCATCTAGATCAGTGTTATGGGGACATGGGGGCAGGAAATACTGTTATTACTGAGTCTTAGTGCCAGAGCCCTCCTACATGGAGATAAAGGAGGATTTGTTAATTTAACAAAAAACTGTTGGCCCAACGGGGCAGCACCCATGGATGTTTCTGGCAGGCTCACACAACCTGCTTCTACACATGCAGTGGCAGATGATTTCATATTCACCAGTCCTGTCCCTCCAGCTGCCAGGAGAGCTGGATTTAACTATTTCTCAGGGTTGTGAGACACTTCTACAGCACAACCACTAACACAAGGCAACGTCAAGTCTTCTACTCTTCCCACTCACAAAGCCAAATTCGAGAGCCTTGGGCTCTTAAGAGAGGCACCATGAAGGACCAGGCTCCTCCAACTCCCACCATTAGTGTGTGACAGGACCTACCTCACCAGGTCTCCTGCGGGGTTGTACGATGTGTATGTCTGGGACCGAGTCTGTGGGCAATAAATACATCAGTGACTTTGTGGAGGTGGAAGAGACCTTTTTAATAAACATGATTCAAATAAAATAAAATAAAAAAAAATCCCTCTGAACTGCCACTGTGAGAAGAGTTCAGATAACTAGCACAGAAGATGATGCTGTATGTGCACGATGGAGGGAGGAGGGAAGAAAAGAACAAGCTGTCACCAACTTGATCAGCTTCCTCAGTAAATCAGCATAAACCAGCTCAGCAAAACTCTCCAGATAAAATATCGGTGGAACCATGAGAAACAACTCAAATCAAAACAAAGAGAAATCCCTACATCAGAAGGCGCTACATTAGAATAACCAGCGAAATACTGAGTGCTGCTGGAGCCGCAGCAATGGCAGGGAGACAGGTGAGATCTGCCGGTCGTTCCTGGGGTCAGGAATAGCCACACAGTGAGGGGACTCACTCAGTCCTTTCACAGGCAGTGTTTGTGTGTGCTAGAGGGGGTGTCGGTGGCAGGGAGGTCAGGCTATCAAACGAGGTGGTGGTGCAGAGTGGCAGCAACGGAGGGTGAAGGGCAGCACTCAACGATGTCAACTCCATCTTGCTCTGTGTTAGTGCAAATAGTCATCTACTCTGGCAAAGGAGCAGGAGCCCAAGCCCACACGAGCCATGAGCCGCAAACACTCCGAGGCCTGGCCCAGGGCAAGCATCAGCGGGGGCTGCTTTGGCAGGTTCTGAGATTCTGTGGGGGCAAAGAAAGAAATCCGTTTAGAAGAGGTGTCCTGGCTGTGCGCTGGCTCACCTGCACTCGGGTCCCTCTCAGTCCCCACCGGGCACCCAGCCCAGCATCCCTGGCAGGAGGTGCTGGCTCTGGAGGGAAGCTACTCCTTGAGTTCCGCCGGCTCTGTGCTGCTGCACCTCCACATACCCCTCACCCATGACATGTTCCACGGCTCAGCAGGGCCTTTGAGAGAGCGCTGCTGTGGTGGCCAGAGCAACAAAAAGGCAGTGAAGCTCCTGCTGATGCTGTCTGCCAAAAAACCCTCCAAGCACGAGAGATTGAAGCATGGAAGAATAAGGAAAGGCAGGAGAAACTGGCACCAAGTGAGAGCACACTTTCCACCTCTCACACTTGTGCAAGGCTACACAGCAGCCCAAGCCCTGGACAAACTCGTCTCTGCATCTTTACAAGTGCATGTTCACTGTGCAAGCATGAGGGAACCCTCAGCTGAGCTGGACAAGGTGTCTTGTGACCTGTGTGATGAAGCATGTCCAGATACCATCGTTCATGTCTCCCTGGCGACAGTTATCGGCAACTTGTCCATGTTCCTGAAGCACTGACAAACAACTGCTGACTGCCAGGGAAAGGGACTCTCCTTCCCAAAACATGTAACTTCTGTTCCTCTACTCAGTCAGAACAGCTGTTCCTTCCCCCAGAAGACAATCTCTAAATCTCCTTCTGGCACACTCAGTGTGAGATGCACAGACCCCCTAGGAAATCCTCACGGGCACAGTGAGCCAGACCAGGCATAGGAGCCCAGCATGGGTTTCCAAGACAGAGAACCTGTCCAGTGGACAGTGTCTGGCTGCTGTGGATGGACTGGGGAGCGTCCTGCAAAGTTACCTGGGCAGCGACAGCATGGGCATGATCTGGTGACACGTTCAAGGGCCCTGCCTAGAATGAATCAATCCCTTTGTCGCAGGCTGGTGGCAGGCCATAACCTCATTATTTCTCCACCATGGGTTTTTCTGGAGCTGAAGGTGCCAGGAGGATCAGTAAAGGCACAGCAAGACACTGAGGGCAGCAAAGACTTCCATCGTGGGAGGCCATTGCATTTACTACACCAGGTTCAAGATGGGGGCAAATGACAACAAGCTGTTGGGCCACGGAATGTGCTTGTCTAAGGAAAATGGAAGAACAGGCATAAATGTTCAGCTCTGAGGACACAGAGGAGGGCAACAGACTGCTCATACCTGGATCCAACCATCCTGCTGACACACAGAGCAAAGCTTATCAGAAGAAGAGGAGCTGCCTTGACAGCTGAAGAAAACCAAGCTATAACCAGATCTCTGCACAGAGCAGGGCCCTCTCAGTGCAGTTAAGATCGTAAGGGAAAGAGCAACAGGGCCTGCCCTGCAGGGAGTCAGGCTCTCTGGGATCTGGCAGCCATAGCACAGGGTGGGAACACACAGAGGCAGTGCTTGAAGGGAAGGTAAACCCTGTCTGCATTTAACTCTGCATGTTCAGCACGAACTCAAAGGTAACTGGAATTATGACTCCCCTCTGCTTTAGAGCCAACACTATGGAAAACAGCTTCACTCATGAGGTGCTGCAAGAGAGCAACTGCATTCCCTCCCAGACAGTGGGATGATGCCAGGACTCAATTCTGCCAACCCACACAGCACGGAAAAGCGCCCTGGTAATGCCTGCAAAATGATTCAGGTGAGTTCAGAACATGAAGGAAGAGGGGCAGGAAATGCATCAAAGAGATCTTGGTTTCTTCTATAAGCAGGGGAGGAAAATCCTTAAGAGCATCCTTGGAAGCAGCACTGAGGAAGATGCAAGGAAGGGAGCCAAAAGAAGTTTCTCAGGGGGATCCATTCTCTGCAGGCTTCCCTTCCACCCCCCTTCCTGCATCACTGCCCTGACAGTCCCCAGCAACAGAAAGAGAGGCCAAAGCTGAAAACAAGAACTCCTGAACTTTCCCTAACACTTGCAGGCTTGCCCACCACAGGACAGCCTTTGGGAGCAGGTGTGTCCAGGGGGAACAGCTCCCACAGGAACCAGATCTTACCCAATATAGCACTATTGAGAGCAGCACACACAGGTTCCCTCTGGATCGGGTCCAGCTGTTGGCCAACGGGGCAGTTCCAAGGGTCTGAGTAAGCTAACAAGCTAAAGGCGTCCTGTGTGAGAGAACAGAGAGGCACAGTGAGGTCCTGCAAGGCTGCAAACACACAGGAGAACCACCAAGTCTGTCAGCTGGGGCACCTCCTGCCATCACCACGGTGTCAGGTGCCTACCTCCTGAAAAGAAATGGCCCTTTTCTTCTTAGCAGCAAAGGACCACACTGGGCCATCAAGATAGTGGGTTAAAGAGGGTGCCCCCTCCACCTGGCAGGGGAGCCAGCACAGGAAGGCAGGTAGAGTGTCACCTGGAGAGAAGAAGAGCATGCAGTTGCTCCAGAAAGGCAGGCAGGAGCTGTAGTTCTTCTCTCCTGTGCTGAGAATTGGGTGTAGATGCTCTACGTTCATGGTTTGACCTCTGATCCCCACGCAAGCCCCCTCTTCCTCAGCAGGTGCAGAAGTGGGGGCTACCCAGAGTCTGCAAGGGAACCCACACCCCCAGTCCTGGCCCAGAGAACTGCTGCAATGCAGCACAAGGCCCAGGCTTACCTGAAGCATCTTTTTGTGCACGGTGTTCTTCCCATATTCTCTGCAAAGCTGTTCGCTCAGGATCTGCAGCTCCCGCCCAAACTGGATCATTCTCTCGGTGGCAGCGTGGTTCCCTCCACAGAGCTGCCTCTGGGGACAGCTGTCTTCTGGAGGAAGGGCAGTGGAGAAGGAACAGTCATCTCTCCTTCCTCACCAATGCCCGCTCTGTGTCATGACACCCACAAACTCCTTCCCCTTCTGGAGCAGGTGGCTGTTCCCCGCTCTACCCCAGTGGAAGCTTTCTGTGATTCCTGCACTACAACAGCCAGCAGTGGGCTTTTCACAGTGCCTGATAAGTACAGGAAAGATCTGAGCTCGGTTTAATGCCACAGGACTACCTAGAAAGCAAGTCTCCTGATAAAATCCCAGGAGCTTGCAACTCCAGCTGTGTTACCCTTTCATGTGTGTAATACAACATACACAGCACAGAAATCCCCTGGTTTAACAAATCCTGGACTCAGAAAACTTTCAGTCAGACATGCCAACACCACCAGCTTCCCAGTATTAGTGGCCACAAGACCCATTTCAACTAGAGAAATCCCCAATTTCAGAGGTAGTGTGGCAGATTCATCCTCTCCCTCCTGGCTAAATCACCCACAAACAGGACAGTCACGGCTGACCAGCCGTGCTGAGGCACAGCCCAGCTCAGCTCCCCAGCTGGCACTTCTGCCAGGACTGTTCTGAGTTGGATTTCATGACCAGCACTGAACAAGCCTTTGACTCCTACTGCTTTCCCTGCTCCACAACATCGCCAGCACTGCTGTGAGACTGTGAAAAGCCAGACCTAGTTTTAGTTCCAGGACAGATTCATTTTCCCCATGAAACAGGTAGCTTGAGAACTTCATTCACTGGGTGGGGAAAGAAGCCCAAAGTACATGTTCTACTCCCCACTATCCCATCACAGTTTTAACTCCTGATACCAGCTCTTTTTATTTCCCTTTACCCCTCCTGCCTCTGAGGCCCTACCCATGCTGGACTCATCCGTCTGCAGGATCTCTTCATGTTTGTAGGTGCCATTCATTATCCTGGTGGATGAATTTTCCAGGACTCCGTTGGGATAATGCTCAGCCTCCATTTCCATCTCGCTGTCACTGAGGTAAAAAGAAGGAAGAAAGGTTAGATGTCTAAATTAGAAAGAGAAGAAATTAAGAGCTCATGTGCCAAATGGTGCCCAGCAATGGCCAGCAGAGAAGGAAAGGTGCCAGCTGGACTACAGGGAGCCAGATGGTCTAAGTCAGTGTAGCAGAAACTGTTGCAGGCTTCTGAATACAATTTATGAAACAGGTTTCTGTTCTGGAAGTGCCTGTCATAATTCCAGGTGCCGAGTGCTTTGCATTTTCCCTTCAGGAAGTGTTCATCCCTGGGACAGCCAGACAATAGATAACACACTAACAGACTGCACAGGAGGGGAATCTTGGCTAAGCCCTCAGTCCTTGCAGAGAGTGCAGTACAGAACACTTAAATGTTCAAGACAGCAGGCTGGCTGAGACTGCTGAATAACTACTGATTAGAGTGTCTAGACAAACCCATGGCACCAGTGTAATGGGACAGCTTGGTGTCTGGAACAGGAGCATCATAATATTCCTTATGAGATAAGCCTCCAAGCCTGAGCCACAGAAGGGAAACTGGAATGGGTTTGTGGCTGCTGGGAATTGTAGTGACCTTGTAGATACCAAATATTGCTCAGAAGGGCAGGACAGATGACCTTCTAGCTCCTCAGAAAGCAGACTGAGCCCTTTCCCACCATCTCACTCTCACTCAGGTGTCTCCAGAGGAAAAAAAAAAATACCTGGTTTCTTGATTACTCGTACTACTGTGCTGCTGAGATTTGGTAGAATCTGTAGAATTGGACTCAGAGTAGTTCACAGATGAGGGGGAAGAGGAGGAGGAAGATGAAGATGATGAACTCAGTGCTGGGTATTTACTGTGACTCTGTTTGCTTTTTGTGGACATGACTCCATTGCTACAGGTTGGACTATCTGCTCCTGAAAGCCAAGAAGAAAGAAAAATAAGACCAGACTGACAATATTACTCTGTTGTGAAGTCAACAATTTGGCACAAGAGGCTTTGCTTTCCTGACCTCCTCTCACCACTGCATCAGTGAGACACCGAGTCACTGGTGGCTGCACTAAAGGCCTGCCTTCAAAACCTTCTTTATTCTGAAAAAAACCTGCTCTGCAGACAACTAATGCAAAACCAATTCTGCAGCAGTGTAGAGACACACATGCTAACAGTACATCCCCTCAGCTGGGTATCAGAAAGGAAAGGAGCATTTCATGGAATCATGTCCACCTCAGACACCTGCTCTTCTCACTGGGAGACAGGGAGAACACACTTACCGGTACTGTGAATGTGGGAGTTGCTTGATCCGTGTCTCGGACTGAGGCTGGGGGACCCGGGGTAGCTGTCCTGGGATCGGGGGCTGCGGGCACTGAAACAACGCACTTCGCTGTCCGTGCCGTTCACCATCTCCACGAACTGCCGACACCTGGTTTCATAGGAGGGGAGAAGGGGAAAAGGGTGCGTGACAGCCAGGATGCTCTGCACTGAGCCCCCCTCAGCTCCCCAGTGGAGAAGTCCTAGAAACTGCAAAGGAGTTAAAACCCCTTTGCTTTCAAAAGGACATTTCAGACTCCTGATGCCCTTGTGAGTGGTCTGATAAAGCTACAGGAAGGAGGAATCCAGAAACTGCAACTTTGATGCTAATAAATGTTGAGAAATTCCCAAAAAGCAAGTTTAATTCCACTGTGCTAAGAAGAAACCAATCCTCTACGGCTTTCAGCTCCACCTCCTCTGCAGGTACTCCAAAATTCAACTGTGGGAGATTTTTTTCAAGGGGAAGATACTAAAACTGTCAAACATCACAGGTCCTTCGCTGCTCCATCAACCTAAAAACACTGGTGGCCAATGGAAAATAGAGAAAGAGTAAAAAATTCCGTGACAGTGAGGACAGTTCCTCATTTAGCTTTACTGGGAACTGTCCCCATGTCTTAGAAGGTTGGGAGAGCCGCTCTGTACAGCTGGAGAACTGGAACATTTTTTTCCTTTAGTCTCTACCCCACACAGCCTTTTCCATTCCTCTGCCTTTCCAGGAACCTTCACAGTGACTGCCACTGCTCCAGCAATGCAGGTTCTCCACAAGACAAGTGAACACCACCTGTGAAGGAGTTTCTGGCAGTCAGCAGAGCTAAAAGTCACCCAACTCTGCCTGACCTCATGAGGCAAAGCCACACTGGCTCTGAGCAGCAACAAAAAGGCTACAAGCACTGTACAAAGGACTCCCAAAGGGAATCTCAGTTGGAATTCAGAGCAATGTGTGCAGCTGGCCTGGATGTCTGGGCAGCCTCTTCTCTCCTGCATCTACACATTTCAGGAGTAGAGAGTATAAAGCTATTCATACTTACTTTAACATGAAGAGCAGGTTGGGGTTATGTTCTAGGAGGCCAGGATAGAGCTGCTGGGTGGCTTCTATAGCCTCTCCCACTCTGCCTGCTAATACTAGCTTCTGTATTCCTGAAAGCAAAGGGAGACCTGGTGACACACAGGACCAGCCCACAGGAACAGCCAGAAGGGCTGTCTCATATATGCCACCCAGCTCCCCACAACCACCTTGCACAAGGGCTTGGGAGAACTGGGGACCACATTTTGTTTATTATGGATTAGGGTGAGGAAAACCATGTGAAAATGAGGGAGGATTTCTTAGCAGCAAAAAAATACCCAGAGCAGAAGGTTTTGAAGGATGTAGTAGGTGAGCTGGGGTGGGGTGCTCTGAGACTTTAGTCCTTTAGTCACAGAGCTCTGCAGCAATGGGAAAGAAAGCAGGACATGCTGGCTGGATGGAAACAAGGAGGCTGCTGGGAAAATGACAATTTCAGAGGGAAGCCCCTAAGTCACCCCATATTACATCCTCTGACTGGTTCATGCTTGGAAGTGTATGTCTGGCTGGGAATCAGATAAGAGGAGTATTCTTGGAGGGTCTGTGGGCTTAAACCACAGCACAGTATCCCCAATATCCCCACCTCTAAGCAGAAGTAATTATATCAACAAAACTGGGTTCCTGCAAGTCTCATCTCAATGTATTGAGAGAATTAACCACAGAATTAACCTGAGTTTGGCCTGCAATGAGCCAAACTGACTCCTAGAACCAGCTGTTGACTAAGCTAGAAACAGCTCAACAAGTTGTACATTTTTAGGAGCTGTAAAGAGACAGGGCAGAAGACACCTCTCATGCTGCGTGTTCATGCCCCATGTATGTTCCTTTGGTGGGTCAGAAGACACAAGTGCCAGACTCATCTTGAGATCCCATCCCTGAACGCTCAGAGAAGCTGCTGATCTACAGATTTGCATTTTATTTTTTTTCTAAATGTAGAAAAAAATAAAAGAAAAAACCTATATGTACTTAAAACTAAAACTGCATTGTTTTTCCAGCACTCCTTATAAGCAACAGAGGGAAGTTTTTGAATGGCCTGTGAGGTGCTTTGCAAGCAGAGGCTCAGATAGTAAGGCTGTGGCTTTTGCTAACCATGAGCAGTTGGAATCCCAGCCTGGTAAATCCTCATTAACAATCCCCAGTAACAAACTGCAATGACTTGTCTTGGCTCCCACTTCTCACTGTCTATTAGCTTGTTATAGTAGCTGAAAGCTGGAACCAAAGCCGTGGCTCTCACACCAACACAAGAGCTCTCACTTCACTCTGTTCCTTCCTCGCACGTCCGTTTTTAAGTCTCGCTGCTTTTGACAGCTCCCTGCTCTGCCTCGTTTTGCAACTCTCAGGGATGCCATTCCCTTTCTCATTTTCCCTTCTTTTTTGTTTTCCCATCTGTGTTTTCCTCACACCTTTTATTTAAGCCCCAGCTTGGGAGCTCTGTGTTCCCTCCCTCCGCCTGCCTCGTCCCCTGCCCTCAGACAAACGCGAGGCTCCGCTGGCTAAACCCACACCAGTGGGAACACTGGCTGGGGTCAGGGTTGCATAATGCATGACCTGGAAAGCACAAAAGCCCATCAGCACTAACAGGCAGCAACTACAAGTTATTTAAAAAGCAGAGTCCCCAGATGAACCTGAATGCTGGCTAAGCACATGCAATGTATGGAGAGCGAGCCACAAAGGGGCACAACGCTCCCGACCCGTAACAGTCACAGGAGGAGCAGTTCACAAAGGGAAGGGCAATGCACAGGGTGGGATGCAGCCTGTATTCAACAGCCAGGAGAATGCAGAAAGCACACCAATGTTCTGCCACTCTGCAGTCTGAGCCTGTGAATAGAAAAGCTTAAAATAAAGGTACAGCAGGGGAAAGCTGCGGGCCTGATTCTGCAGGAGCCAAAAAAGCCTTACAAGCTGAGAGATGAGCCATGGGGAAGGAAACAGCAGCAACCAAAACAGACACAATATGAATTCTTCACGTAGTGTGAGCTAAACACCTTGGCTGTGAATACAAAAAAACCTCAGTATACAAAAATGTCACCTGAAATCAAAATGTGCAGAGGGACTGGGAGAGTCCTTAACTCTGGGAGCTGCAGTCAGAACAGAGGGATGTGTCTGGGTCCCTGTGACTATGGGACTGCCCCTGCTGCAACAGCCTGCAGCAAAGGACTCAAATCCAAAGGGATCTCTGGTGCACAGTGACCTCAGCTCAGGCAAAGGCCAAGCACAGCAGACAGGCAAAGGCAAGCACAGGGCAGTTCTCCAGGCAGAGGTGGCAGAGGGTGGAGGGGACACGGTGATGATGGGAAAAGTGCTCCCAGCAGAGGTTCCCAAGCTCTACTGACCCACCCAGCGTGCTGTGGAGAGCTTTATAATGTCATGGAGTAACTTCTCTGCTTCCACAGCACTTCACTCCTCTGCAGAGTCCTGAAGGGAACACATGGCCAGTGTGCCACACTTTGGGAATGACTTACTTTGTCTATTCTTTATTGAGGTCTGTTCTTCCTGGATTGTGGTGTCTGTGACTCTGGCAAAGGCAGTTGCTGTGGAACAGTACCCATGATGAACCAAATATGATGAAACCATACTAGAAAAAAAGAAAATACAAAGAGATGAAGTGACATTGGTGAAACAGGATCATCACACTGGAGAAAAAAAAAGAAATCAACACAACAGAAGTTGCAATTTCAGTGACATTAAGGTTGGAAAGGACCTCCAACATCAGCAAGTCCAACCTTTGACCAAACACCATCATGTCAACTAAGCCACAGCACTAAGTGCCACATCCAGTTGTTTCTTGAACACTTCCAGGGATGGTGACTCCACCACTTCTCTGGACAGCCTGTTCCAATGCCTGACCAGCCTTTCAATGAAATAATTCTTCCTGATGTCCAATCTAAGCCTCCTGTGGTGCAACTTGAGGCCATTTCCTCTTGTCCCATCGCTCACATGTTACCTGGGAGAAGAGACCGACCCCCACCTGGCCACAGCCTCCTGTCAGGGAGTTATAGAGAGCAAGAAGGTCCCCCTTGAGCCTCCTTTCCTCCAGGCTGGATCCCCCCAGCTCCCTCAGCTGCTCCTAATCAGACCTGAGCTCCAGATCCTTCCACAGGCCCATTGCCCTTCTCTGGACACACTCCACACCTCAGCGTGTCTTCAGGCAGAAGACACTCCCGACCTCTGACAACTCTTGTCAATTGTTCTCATCAAGTTCCACTCAATCCTTTTTGCAGTGGGAACTGCATTCAGTATTGATAAATTCATAAAGTGGCATAATGTGCTTTCAGGTTTTGAAAGCCTTTGGTTTAGGCTATTTCTTGCTCTTTCATTTCTAGGTTCAGCTGATTTACATCCTGGCTTTTCTCCTGTGTTAAGAGTTTTCATGGTGTCCTCTCCCCTCCCCTTCCCCCAGTGCCTCACCTCAAAACATATGTTCCTCCATCCCTACAATCCTTCATGCATTTTTGGCTGAAAACTTCTCCCATACCTTTTACATTTCAAACAGCAGCAATCCACACAGGGAAAACCACTGAACAACAAAACAGAGGGCAAACCGATTCGAGCAAAAACGCAGCGAGGGGCAATTTTTGCCATCAGAGAGCATAAATCAGCATTTAAAGGCTAAGAAAATGGAAGAAGGTGAACAGCAGGGCAGGGACTTACTTCTGCAGCATGGCTTGCCACTCGCCCAGCCTGTCTCCTATGGGAAACCGCTTAATGGTGCTCTGGATCTTCGCCCGCCACTCCCTCATGTAGTCCTCGATGTCGAACACAAAGGGCTGCTGCCCAAAGTTGGCATCCACGATCTCTCCTGGAGTCTGGAGACCCACTGTGGGGTAGAGATTTGACTGGGAAGGGAGAAAAAAAAAAAACCAAACCCTGTGTTAAATGCAGCTTTCTCTTTCTGGTTCCAGTTACGTGGTTTGTTAAGACAAAAGAGCCCCTCTTTTAATTGAAATAAATAAAATGGAAGAGGAAGAGGCAACAGCCCTTTAGGTGCTTCTCAGGGAACCCTGTGACTTATTGTGCAGTTATAAAAGTTACTGCATAAAACCAGAACAACAGGTTCAATCCCCCAGCAGCCTGTGATTGAGCTGTGACTGCTTCTGTAGATGGCTTAGTTTTCTGCAATTTCTACCAAAGTTCAAGATCCAGCAGATAATAATTAACATAATAATAATTAACATGGTATTTAATGTAATAATAATAGAATAAGAATAATAATGAGAAGAATCAATGAAAGGTGCATCATCTCAAACAACAGATCTATGTGTTCTCTGCTGTTTCAACTGAACTATTTTATTCCTTGGAAGTCGTTATCAGGATATTTGACAGATGAATTTCATATTAAGAACGAGCCTATGGATCCAAATGGAAGCTTTGACACACCACTAGGACATGGGAAAAAGAGAAAGGTTCCCACCATGAAAATACCTCTAAAATTCAGCCAATAATTCAGCTTCTAAAGATGATCTAATTGAAAATAGGTGGCCAAAGTCTATCTAGAAGTTCTCTGAATTCACACTATTTTAAGAATAAATTGTGGATAGAAATTGATCCCTGAGCCCACTTAGATGTTGGGAAAAGAGAAACAGCATCAGAAAAGGCACAAGGGTGGCACGATACAGAAGAGCTATCAGAGGAAAATGCTGTATTTACAGTCAGTCTCTCTATTCTTTCAAAAGTGGCTGACAAGGAAATATCTCTAATGAGGGATCAGATTTTTTTCACAGACCATACTTAAGACTTTTTTATTAACTGTTTAGTATTATAAACCCAAGAACTTCCAAAGCCAGGAATCAGACACCCAAAACACTTGGAAGTTAGAAGGAAAAAAAAAACAATTTACAAGATATCAGGTATTTTTCAGCCACTTCTGGGCATGTTAATTTTTGAGCGGAAGCTGCTTCCCCTCAACTTCTCTAAAATCATCTCAGAGTTAGAATTCCATTTCTCACACATGGGATGTGTTCTCTCTGTTTAGCAACTGTTGGGAACTACACGTATCTCCAGCACCCTGCCAGACACAGGGAGAGTTTGTCACAGAGACCACTGACCTGCCAAGTTCTTCAGGCACACCTTCCCCGTGACATCTGGACCATCTCTTGCCCCTGGTGTTGGTGGCCAGTTGATCACAACCCTCTTGCTGATCTTTACCTGTTTTTTGACCCCCTTCTCCCTTTCCACTCCTGCAATCCCAACCTGGCTCTTCCACATTCTGCTTTTTTTCATTTCCTATTGTTTTGGCAAACCTCCAGGCAGGACAGACCTGATACAGGCTTGTATAAGGAAGAGTTAGGCCTAAGCATTGGCTTAAACTGGCAAAAAAGGGGAAACTCCCTCTGTGGGAACTCACTTCTATTTCAAGCAGTTACTCTGGTATTAACTTCAGCTTGTGCTAAGCCAAAATGTGGTTTTTCCCACTGTTGTATTTTTGTACAAATGCAAACAGCCTTTAGAGGAAACCGAAACAAGATGAACCAAATATGTTTCGCCGTGTCTGACGCTGGTTTTCAACTTCAAGGATCCACTTTAGCTTCCTAATACTGCAAATATTGCAAAATATTGTCTTCACCAGTTGCCTCTGAAAGGGGAATTTTGGAACAAGCACTTCAAGGAAATGATTTCTAAACTGGTGTTGTTTTGAAGGGTCAATTTAATTCCTTGTGCAATCTCACTGACATGCAAACCCTAAAAGTTATTTAAGCTTAAAAAGTGTGGAAGTAATGGGGCTTATTGGCCAAGTTTCTCACTGATGTGTGTTACCTCTCAGCTTCCCATGGGCTGTAACACAAGGAAAAGCTCTCACAGCCTCTCCTGGGGGATCAGATCCACAGCCAAAAATTTGTGTGGAGCTGCTCAAACCAGAGCACTTCAAGGGTCACTCAGGTAAGTTTTCTGTTCCCACTCCTGTCTGCAGTTAAATTTTTAGACTGCAGCTTTAGAAGGTGAAGAACACAGATTGCATTCCACCTCTTTCCTATGATGGATGCTTTGTGTTTGAGCCTGGATCACAGTGCTGTAATAAATGGAAAAATCCCACCTGCAAATTACATCAACTTCAAATTCCCTGTTACCTCAAGACTTCTACAATCTCTGACAATAGTCATTATACTTAAAATAAAACAAAAGCTTGTCTTGGGTTTGGCACCCTCTTCTTCAGGAAAGGCACTGGTAACCTCAACTGTTTGGAACAACCAAGAATCCACGGATCAAGGGAGCAAAAAGGGCCAGAAGAGGACATGGAATACATCAGTATCTGCAAGGGTGAAGGAAGAAGGCAGTAATCCAAGGGAAGGATACTGGAAAAGAGAATGATGAAGCTGGGTGCAGGCATCCCTAGGATGAAGCTGCCAGCACAGCAGCAGAGCCATTTAGTATATGGAGAGGAACATCCAAAATCCACATGGAGGCAGAAGTCTCCCATCCTTGCTCACATCCACAGCTAAGGGGTGACATGATCCACACAGGCTTCTCTCATCCTCTTTTTAAAGAGGAATTATCTCATGAAGGATAATTCTCAATAGCAGGAGGCCTACAGGGCATCAGCTGTTCTCCTTCCTGGCCCAGAAAAACAGTGTTATGGATTAGCTGTGCTGTAAAAGCCAGAAGGGGATTTCCATGGAAAACAGCTCAGCAAACTGGCTGGTAAAAGGCACAGAGACACCAATTAACCACTGGAGACTCCACTGTAAGGCATCTGAGTAGCTGATCCCAAAACCCACCTGGCCAGGTCTTCTCCCAGTTTCACACTAAAACATCTCCTCTGCACAGGACACAGATGAATGAGCCCGAGATCCTGTAAGGATGATCTGGCCAGATCGAGGAACAGCAGGACAGGGAGATGCCCTGGGCTCAGAAGGGTTTTGAATTCAATCTCAGCAGCACTGTGAGACCTCCCTGCTGCAAAAGCCCTTCAGTCTCTCTGCTTCCCCAATGGCTCATCCCCTGTTCCTAACAGAGACTCAACACCGGGGTGAACAGCCCACAAGTGCCCATTAAATGTACATGTCAGCTCACCCTGCACTCCTGCAGTAACAGGATGCAAGCTAAGCTAAGCAGGACAGGGAATTTCAGCCTGCAAAATCTGTCCTGGGAAGCTCTGCAGCAACACTTGAGCTATAAATGACAAAGCAGTGGCATGTGTGTTGGACAGCTATTTCTGATTGACAAGAGAAGCAGTCCAGCCAAATGAGAAGTGGTGAAAAAATTAGAAGGAATATGGTATCCCTGTGACTCCTAATGTAATCTACAGCCAGAGGGAAAGCAAAGAGTACCAAAAACTAAGGGTCATATCAGAGAAGCTTCTTGCTCTGGATGCAAGGTTGTCACAAGACCTCACTCCAAAAGGTTAATCTTCATGGACAGGCAAAATGTTCTTCTACTTCAATAAACTGTACTTGGACCAAGTGAATAAACTGCTGTGAAACAAGCCACATAAAGAGCTTCTGGTTTAGAACACACTGCAACATTATCAAGTTCAAAGAGCTTAGAAACAACAAAAAAAAATTGAGCTGTATTGACAGCTGAAGGGAAAAGGGCAAATCAAATAACTGGAATATCCTTCAGTGCAGGTAGTGGCTGGGATATGGGAGAGATCTGTAAAGCCCTATATCCCACTGGGAAGGTGAACAGGGATTGCTGGCCACTATTTCTCACAATACAAAAATCAGAGGAACAAAATAAATTTTTTTGCAGGAAGTACAGAACAAAGCAAAGCAAGCCTCCTCTCACACAACAGGGAGGTCAGCCAAGAAAACTGATCATTTTGGAGGCCTAAAGAAGTTAGGGAAATTAAGGAATTCCTCAGAGGAAATTAATTTGGGGTTATTAACTACAAAGGGCTGCAACCTTAAGGACAAGAAGCTCTACGTATGAGAGAGATGGATGCAGTGGATCTATTGGTGAATGCCTGACCTGGTTTTATCTGCTACTCCTAAACAAATCCTCCTTGTCCAGGAACACTTGGGTCTGAAAAAGAGGGACCGTTTTCTTGTTCATGACCCACTGTGAAAGTTGTGCTTTTGTAAGGCCTGACTGGACATCACTGCCTGGAGTAACTCAGGGGGTGCCACTGCACTCAGGAGTGGTTCAGTAGCAGGGCTGGTGAACCCCAGGAGTAACTGTCAGCCCCACATGGATGCCAAACACATTCCTCCAGCAATTCCACGAGCCAGTTCTTCATCATGGGCTTGTGAAAAACCTGTGCAATGAGAGCACACACCACAGGAGGCTGAGCCTGGTCCCGTTCTCAGAACTCCACTGTGGCTGCAAAACTTGGGCGAGAGAGGAAGAAGCTGAGAAAAATAACATGAGGCATTTTGGGGCTCTCAGATGATGGGATATGAGAGGCTCTATAACTTTGCACAAATACCCCTCACAGTCAAAGCTGCATTTGGAAGACAGTGACCTGCAAAGAAGTCTGAATCCTTGCTTTAATTCCAGGGGAAGAAGCAACATATTCTTAGAGGTGGTGAGGGATGAGAGGAGGCATGTGAGTAGCCCACAAACCCAGTCACAGGATCAGGAAGTTTCAGAATAGGGAGCATCTACATCATTCAGTAATGTGTGTTACCATGTTTTTGTTTTTTTTAACAGGGCATCAAACAGAAAAAAAATCACACCCCCACACTCTTCCCCCTCCCTTCTATTTGCATCCTCAGTTAAAATACTGAAAATAGGTGTACTTACAGGGAGGTCTGTAAAGGCTATACCTGTGGGGGGAAAAATATTAGAATTAAAAAGACAAAGGATTTTTTTCCCTGCTTGCCTACATCCTCAACATGCTACAAAACATTACTGTATTTCAGCAAATCCCAGCTTTGACCTTGCATTTCACCACCTGACATATTTAGAAGTAACTTCCCTCCCCAGCCCCCTCCACTGCAAAGTTTTGCATCTGAAGAAAGGTTCAGGGTTTCCGACATCTCTCCCAAAAATTTGATTTTCTAAACACAGCTCCTCTTTCCTTTGCTTCTCCCTCTGTTCTCTGAAGGAGTTAGTTTGCAAGACTCGCTGTGGCTTTAGAAACAGAATTTTTGTATAACAGTGCTTTGGTTTAGGCTATAACTAGTTCTTCTCACCAGCCAGAGAGATTCAACACTTTGCATCACAGCTGGGGAACAGCCCTGCAACAGGACTGAGCTGGAGCCAGGAGCACCTGAGAAACACTGTGCAAGGAACAGCTGCACCCTCAACTCTGCTGCTACACTTCCAAGTATAAGAAATGGGAAAAAACATGTATGTTTTCTCTTTTTATTAACACTTGGCATGCCAGAAAAGAGGCAGCTAAGCTGAGGCTGCTGTTGCTTAGGATGGCTAACAGAGTTTTGGCTAGAGACAACACTCAGCCACAGTCAGGCTACCCCAGGCACAGCTCTGCAAACCCATCAGCCTGAAATGGTAATTTAAATCAGTTTTAGGAGTCAACACAGGAAACAAATAATTACTATTCAAAACAGCACAGATCCAAAATCAAACGCTCGGAAAGAAATCCTAAATATTTTACTAAATAAACATCCAACAAAGTTAAATTAACATCCTGGCAGACAGCCAATATGGTTTAAGGAACATCCTGGCAGTTTGGACCTCGTCTGTTGAGTGCCCTCTCTATACCCAACCAAAATTTGTGCATACAGGTGATGTTGAACAGCTGGCTGAGGACAGTGCTCAGTAAGCACTTCCCTCACCTCCTCACGTTGCCCAAATATTGTTCCTCACTCAGACCTTTTTTTTTTTTCCACTTTGCAGTTGTTTTGTTCAGCTGGATGAAAGCTTGTTTCTACCCTAATGCCAGAATGAGGTCAATCTCCTTAAGCCTGTTGTCCTGGAGTCCTCCTCTGCCCCCAGCATCACTGGGAGCCAAAGGTGGCCCGGCTCGTGTCGCTGTACGGCTGGAGCTGCTTCCAGCACAGGGACAAGGATACGGGTTTTGAGTGGACTACAAGGTGGGTGGAAAATTGGCTGGACTGTCAGGATCGAAGGGCTGTGATCAGCAGCTCAAAGTCCAGGAGTTGTCCCTCAGGGATCGATGGCAGGGCCAATACAGTTTAATGTCTTTACCAATGACCCCGATGATGGGATGGAGTGTGGTCACAGCTGTCACCAAACAGCAGAGTGGACAACAGCCTGCAGGGCACAGTGCTACAGCTGGAGAAATGATCCACAAAAACCCCTCAGAGCTCAATGAAAGCAACTGAAGAGCCCTGCCACCAGGTTGTAATATTCCTAGAAAACAGGACAGGCTGGGTCTGACTGGAGATAAAGCAGAAGAGGATTCAGGGTCTTGCTGGGCAACAAGGAGAGCAGAGTGGTGGGTCTGTGCAGTGAGGGAGATCACCACGTCCTGAGCTGTATTAGTGAGAGTAGAGCTGGGCTGTATTACAAAAAGCATAGGTTAAAGGAAGGGATTTCTCCCTTCTCTTTCAACCCTTGTGAGTCTAATTTGTGGTATGATGTCCACTTTTGGGCTCTCCAACACAAGACACACTAAGACTGAAGTGAGTCCAGCAGAGGCCAGCAAGACAAAGCGAGGCTAAGGGAAAAGCCACTGTTCAGTCTTAAAAACATTAGGGCAGACACTTGTTGCTGCCTACAACTACCTTATGGGAGGGTATAGAAAAGACTTTTCTCAGAGATGCTTGGTGGCAGGAGACAGGAGGCAACAAAGACTAGCTGCAACATGGGGAAGTCTGATCAGAAAAATTCAGTACGAATGTGGTCAAACGCTGAATTAGGGGACCAGAAAAAAACCCTGGGTGATCTCCATTCTTGAAGACAGTAAAAGCTTGATGAGTTTCTGAGTAACACGATTTAGCTGGGCCTGATTTCAGCAGGGTGTTGGAAGCATGACCCCCAGGGATCCCTCCCAGCGAAAATTACTCTGTGATTCTATAAATAAACTTATTACATTGCCCTTACGATAAGACAAATGTATGTTTTGCACCTTTTGCTACACAACTAAGACTAATAAAATGCTTTATGCCACAGCACTCAATCTGTTGCACACACATGTCTGCTTAGAGTTCATCCTCCATCTGCACTGCTCCCCACCTGCACCCAGCAAACTCAACAGCACAGAGTGAAACAATCACAGCTCCAACTAGGCAGCTGAATGTGAAACTGCATCCTCTCTCTGCAGCACCTCCAAACCCTGCATCCAATTTAAAACATCAACCTTCATAAATTTAAGGACATAAGAACTGGACAACTCAAGAGGTCAGGAGGCAAGAGCAAAGGTGTGAAGAGCCTCTCCTCTAAGTCCACAATGTTAACATGATCATCAAGGCAGTGATATAAAGGCATTAAATGAAGGGGGCACAAGGAGATCAACACCTTCACCTGCCATCTAATCAAAGGACTTCCAGTTTTCCATGACTAAAACACACTTATGCACGTCCCCATGCACACAATGTGGACCTCCTGGCCCGTCTCTACTCTCCACCCAGTAACAAACATCCTGTCTGCCTCACAGTTGGCCACTGTCCTCACAAGACATTTCAGAATTCAATTTGCACAAGACAGTATGCATTTGGGTGTGGAGACATGGCACTTCCCTGCCTGCATGTCAGGATACTCCTCCAGCATCTGTTTAGGCAACCTCGATGCAGAGAATCCTTAAAGCAGTGCTGATGGATTGCAATAAGCACCAACACATTCCGCTATGAGCAACCTGATCCAGTGGAAGGTGTCCCTGCCCACAGCAGAGTAGTTGGAATGAGATGACCTTTAAGGTCCCTTCCAACCTAAACCATTCCAGGATTCTGTGATTTTAAATTTGATTAATCTGAAGTGTAGTTTTAAACAACCCAATGCTCTTGCTCTCTGCAAACTTCACTTGAAGTTTTGGGGACAAACCTACTAAACCCGGGACTGACACCTGTGGATCTCTATGACAACAGATTTCTTCATTATCCCTAATGTTTCCCTCAGTCTCTAAACTGGCTGCAGAATGGATATTTTATTTTACAGGTTAACTCAGTCTTTCCAAGAGCCTGCACTAGAACTCAAGCTACAGGAAGTTTTCTATGCCAAGACTTCAGAGGGTTGTGTGCTCTTTTTATAGCCCTGCTGCTCCATTTACCTTGGTCTGCTGTCAAAGTCTGAGATCTGAGACACTCCTACATTAGTCCCCGAGCAAACTCATCCACTTAAACCCAGAGACCTGTAGCAGTCACATCCTCTCCTTATGTCCTGGGCCAAGACTTTCTGCTTAATGGCTGAAGCCCCAACATTTCTCCCTCCTTCTCTCCTAATTCACCCTCACCACACTTCTAGCCACATCTCATTGTACTTTTTACTGCCAGGACTCTGCTCAGAACCTGTCAGAAGCGTTTCATCAGCAGCCAGAAGACATTCAAGACATTTTCCAGAACAGAGAATTAAGACTACATACGATGTCAAACAGTTTTCATGTGACGTCTCCAAACAAAGTTCAAGACTTAGCTCCAACCAGAACATCCAGAATTTGTGATGGCCAAGAAAACAGTTCTTATACAGTGCTCCTGATGGATCTGATTAAATGAAAAAGTATGGAGACAATGGAAGATAAAAGTTAAGCAACAGAAGAAATTGCAAGGAAAACAAAAGGGGGGTGTCTAATTAACAGATGAAAAGGAGAGGACTGAAATGGTGAAGAGAGAAGTGGAAAGACAAAGCTACAGTAATTCCATTAAAAGCAAGACAAATTCAAACTCTGAAACCCTACTCTCAAGCTAACTGGCCTCACAAAGGGGCTCATTAGTCTCATGAATATTTTTAGTATCTGCAGCAGGATTACACAATGACCTCATCTCCTAAGAGGAGGTGTAGACAGCTACAGGGGCTTTATGTCAGGGAACATCAGGAAAAAACACATTCAACCCCTTCCTGGTAAACCCTGGGTTTACACAACACCGAAATGAGATTCTCAAGTTAGCACAAAATACCATGAAAAGTTCAAGATCTTCAAGGAGATGCTTCCATCAGTGAAGAAAGCATTCTAACTTCCAGATAAATTGCCTCTGCCTCCATTTGGCCTCGGTTCCTCTGCTGACACCTGCCTCACTTCCTCCCTCACATGTGTCCTCCTGGGCCCACGAGGAGCTGTGTAACAGCCAGGTGACTGCCATCTGTGGCCAAGGGCTCCTCTCCTCAGCAATCCACAGGAAGCACTTCTCTTGGACGCTGTGTTTCTTTTCCAGTGACACAAACAGACACTACTGGCCCTTAACAACAGTCTTCCTGGATGAGGTTTTCATTCTGCTTTTGTAAGAAAGGCAGTAAAATGTTCCTGCAGCTCTTGTGGGGTCACCCAGCAAGGACTGAGGTCTGCTGCTCTGTGGCACTTCCATCCCTGTCTCCTCTAACCACACCATCCCTCCTCTCTCAGTACAACCATTATGTTACCACAGCTCAAAGAGAAGCTGGTACACACAGGAGAAAGTTGTGTGCTCAGCTGAGTCTTCTACCTGCCATTTTCTCAGACAGGTCATGTCTTGCACTGTATGTCTGAAGAGCCCAAGAGGACACCCAGGGCACAGCAGTGCTGATATCTGATGCTGTTCTCCAAGCACAGTTCCCTTCCTTTCCTGTTTCTTCCCACTGGCATTGTTCACCGCTGGGATAGGCTGTTCCCCAAGGAGTCATTCAATGCCAGATTAGAAAAACACAAGCTTTCCATCCAAAAGAGCCCCATCTTTGAAGGAAAAGGAGCACCAAAATTTAAGAAGGGAAGACTAGATCACTTCACTGCTGCAAAGCACTCCCAGTGTCCCAAACAAACCAGATCTCTGAGCAGGACACAAGGCAAACAATCACAGGGTGGCAACGATGAAAGGCAACACAGAATTACTGAACTGGGCTCTTTGTTCAGCTACATCTGCTCAGACACTCAGGCACAACATGGTCCTGGGAACAGAACAGAGAAGGAGCAAGTAACGACTTTCCAACTGACACAGCTTATACTGTGCAGATTCCTGATCATTAAAAATAAATTAAATTTCAAATTAACAAATTCATATTCATTAAATAGAAGACCTGGCCTGCTCCTGACTCTTGCACTTCCGTGAAAAGTAATGGCACTGTCAGGCTGAAAAACAGTGAAGCTGGAAAACCACCCAGTCCAACAACACAAAACATCCACAGGGGCACAGCACAAACCACTACAGGGCTTCTGTGTAAATATATGCTAAAAATCAAGGACAGCAACTAAATGGAGAGATTTTGTGAAATATTTCTAACTATTTCATCACCTCAGTCGCTGTTGTATGAACTTGTGTCATTCCTAAGCAACAGCTCATGCTCTACACCATCAGCTGTTGCTCTCAAGCCTCTACTTGTCTTACCAGTACTGGACTGACATGGGCAGCCTGAACAGCCCCAGCTCTCTCAGCCTTTCCTCCCAGGACAGATGCTCTAATCCCTTCATCATCTAGGCAGCCCTTTGCTGGACCCTGTCCAGTATGTCCATCACTCTCTAATCCCAGGGAGCTCAGTCCTTTTCCCAAGAGCTCATCAGAAATTATGCCCTCTCCAGGCACACACTGCACTCCAATCCCACTCCCTCCTTCAGCCCAGCCAGTAACTCAAAACAACTTTGTTCTGTTAAGTGTTTTGAGCAGGGTATTCTTCTACCAGCTTCTTCATCTTGAATTGACGCAGCAAGGAGAAGCAAAGGAAAGGAGTGCTTGTCCCTCCCTGCCAAACCAAATGAATCCCAGCACAAAAGGCGAGATGAACTTATAAAAACTTTCTGCATGACAAGAATTTATCAGGGGTGGAGAACATGTCATCCAAGAGAAAGGCATTTTAGGGGAAAATGGCCAAAAGTTTCTATTTTAAAGAAATCGGGCATGACAGATGTCTGGAAAACATCTGTGAGATATTCATTTGGGCATAATTTTGAAGTCCTTAACTTTAGGACAATAAGTGAAACAACTGTGGAATGAACCAAACTAATGGCCAGTGCTTAAATAAGACTTCTTATGCTGAATTAATATTTAGCTTTGGGAATGCTCAGACTAACGTGTTAAGGCTTTCAGATGGACAAGTCCCTTTAAAAATGAAGACACCAGGACAGTGGCTTTGCAGGTAACTGAACAACATGCTAATTTAATTTCCCACTTCTTTATTTTCCTGTTGCCCAGCCAGGCAATCCTAACCCACCTGAACAAATTGAGCAGCATAGAAACCTTTTTACCTGCTGGAAGTATTTCTGTCTTGGAGCCAACTCACAACTCCTGACTGCTGCTGAGTGCTCTTTTCTCTTCCATTTCTTAAACCTCACTCACAGGCACGGGCCAAGAGTTACAACACAGGGAAGTACTAAACAGCAGTGAGGGCAGGGCTGGAGCATCCCTCTCCTGAAAACACCTTCCCTGACTTACCTAGACTGTGGCCATTTTTCGTGTAGAAGCAGGTATTGTTGATGAGGTTGACACAGCAGCCGATCACGTCTCCAGTGGTGAAGGTGGGGCCGTAGGGCTGCCCCGTCCCCGAGGAACAGAAGGAGTGCCCATCGTCACCGTGGTACCCATAAGAATGTTTATCCCATCCTGCAAAAGACAAGACAAAACAACAGGACAGCAGTGAAGCCAGTTCAGCACAAGGACATGCAACTACAGCTCTCAGGACGTAATTTTCTGTCGGAGATTCAAAATTTGATTCCCGTTCCTGATTCATTCCAATATTAGTCTTCACATACCAGCAACTGAAAAGGAATTAATGGTCTTTAGTCATAGCACCTTATTTGGGTTTCAAACTCATTTATGCCTTATGAGAAATAAGAAAAATAATAAAAGTGTCAACAGTCATTCTGACATTCTTTTTTGTTTTAAAAATCATTAAACCCCTGTTTCTCTTTTATCTTGCCTGAAGTGAAACAAACTCCCTTTTGTAAAACATTTGTGGTTCCCAAAAGCACAATCTCCCAGCAAAAGCGTATCAAATAATTCTCAACCTGTTGCAGCTTTGTCTGTAAGTGCTGTCACAGGCACAACGAACGGATGGAGGCAGTTTTTGCATTCTCAAATCCACATTTCCCTTCTAACAGTTGATAAGGGTTGCTGTGTTCCCTTTGGGCAACAATATTTCCCACCCTGCAGACAGCTTAAAACACCAAATGCTTTCAAATGCTGGAGCAGCCCCATGCTCAGGGTTTCTAAGAAAAGCACAAAACACTCAGTGGATGCCTAAGGCCCCCCGTTCATTGCACCACTCCAAATGAACACCAGTGGGAAACGCAGGGAATGGAGCAAGCCTGAAACATGCCACGGTCCAAGATTTTGGACATCAGAGCAAAGTTTCGGAGTGAAAGGCGTGAAGGACTCCTAGCAACTCCTAGTCCAGAAATAGTGAATAATTTCCTCTCATAAATCCCACACATCCAAAGGAACAGACTGAGATGTCACAAGAGTCAGCTCTGTCTTCCCTCGGACCAGCTCCAAACAAGCTGTTGACAGTAGCACCAGTCCTGTTTCATATTTTCATGAGAGGCAGGGACAACAGCACAGCCAGCACCCTCAGCAAGCACAAAACCCATGCCAAATCGACTTGCCAAAACAAAGGAGGGAGAGATAGGGGCTCTGGGAGTCTGTTGTCAAACTTGCACTGCTAAGGTTCCAGCCAGTAAAAATATCATTGAAATACTGAGTTTTTAACACTCTGGCTCCTTTCCACTATCCCTCTTATTTTCTCCGCTGCCATCACTGAATAGATCATTTTAGTCTCCCCAAAACCAGACCTGTTACATGAGTGTCAATTCAGAAGTTCTCTAATGAAGCTGTTGGTAACTTCAGACGATAAATCAATTTATCCGCTAAGCTACTTATAATACAATCCAAACACAGACTTCTAGCTCTTCTGCATACAAAACATTCCTGGCATTACAAAGCATTTAACAAGAACTTGTCATCAGTTACATCCAAGCAGTGAAGTGCTTAAACATCATGTGCTGGGTAAGGCTCCCGTGAGAAACATGACAGTGTGTCCAACTGCGAGGACATTCACAAAATACTTGTGCCAATGCAGACACTACTGGGTCTGTAGTGTAAGGGGGGGAAAAAAGGATTAATTACCTACAGGTCACAACTGTTCCTACTAAAAAAACCCTCCATGTGCTCCTGTGAGATTTGTGACTCAGGGTATCAGTTCTTCCTGCAGCACCAAAGGTGGTGATGAACTCCAGTGAGAAGTGACTGAATAAAGGCCTTGAGGACAGTGACAAATGTGATATGTACTGCAACAGCGCCTGGAAAAAGCTTGTTCTGAGTCTTAGTTAAGGAAATCTGCTCATCCAGCACTTTGCTAAGGATATACAGAGTTCACTGTTTTCAACTCAAATGTTGTATAGCACTGAACATGGACATAACCCTAAGGGCTTTAAATCCTGACTGTCAGCCTTATCAAATCACCATGGTCATCTTAAAAAAGCAAGCCAGAGATGTTTGAGAGAACTTACTGTACTCACTGTAAACATAAGCTGTGGCAATTATTATATGCCTATCATTAAGTTATTTATTAATCAAATCATGTATCTCTATTTCTAAAATTCAGCCCAGAATAAACATGAAGGCAGTGGCGTGCAGGTCATTCAGCCAATCTTCTGAAATTTCCTAATAATCTGACTTAAAAATAACACTCAGCACTTCTAGTACTTCTAGGTCAAAGTTATCTGGGCCTGTTGATTTAAATAGCGTATTTCTGTCAGAAGTGTTTGGCATTATCTTGGATTAGCAGCAGAATGGGGAGTAACTCATCATAGCTATTTTGAAAACAGCCTCCAACTTCACTCCAAACACAAAACACTTGCTGAAAACTTGGGCCTTTGCTGCATCAATAACAATTTGCTATCGCCACCTAGTAATGGGTCCGGGATATTGCAACCTCTTCTGTGACTCCCACGACACTATTCATGCCTCCAGTGACTCAACAACTCCTTCCTGTGCAAAGTCCAGCAGTGCTTTAATAAGGACTGAATCAGACTTCCTGAATGCCTTCCCCACACCTGCACCTGCAAATTCTCCGGGCGTTTTAACCTCTGTGCAATTTGTACTCAAGTACTTCCAGAAGCCACCGTTGTGACCTGGATGATATCCACATGCTCTTAAAAAAAGCTGGCCATGTGGGATATGGGGTCAACCTGGACAAGGATGCTCTTGAAGAAGTGAGACAGCAGAGGCACAGGATGAGCACGTATCATGCTCTGACTGAACAGAGTTACTCCTCTCCAACCACCACAGCACATACAGACTGAGCCAGATGGAGGTTCTGTTCACTCAATACTCCTGACAGGATTTTGTTTCCTTTAAATTGTTCAATCCTCCATTAAGCACATATAAACACTCATACCATCCACTGTATCCTGCAACAAGGAGTTTGACAGTGTGCCTTCAAACAGCATGAAAATACGCCTTCTACCACTTGTATTGGATACTCTGTAGTTCTTGCACTGGAGAAGATGGAAAACTGTGGATTCCGTCTCTCCAGAACATACATCATTATATAGACTTCACAAAATCCCCCATAATAGTCCCTTTTCCAGGTGTATGACTCCTGGCTTATTTAGCTATTCCCTGCTTTTCTGACCATCATCATCTAAATCTTTTCTGGATTTAGTGTCACTTGTGAGAATAGAGATGAAGGAGCCCCATGGAGAAGGGAAGCAGGCTGTAGTTGTTCTCTGCACTGTTCCCTAGCCCTCTGCAAGTTAATCCTAGCATTTTCCCCTTTATTGTCTTTTTTATCACTGAACTGATGTCTGCACGAAGCCATTGTGGTCACTCAAAGTGCATCACTGCTCTTGTGACAACGCTCCCCTCCGCACGGATTCCCGTGTGCCATCTCTCCACCGGTGCCTCAGCTCCCTCCCACAGCTCCTCCCCAGCACCTCTCACCACCCTCAGTGGCTCACAATCCTCAACAGCTAGAGCAGCCCATCCTGGGATAGCAGGGTACAAAACCCTGGGAGAACCCATGCATGAACAGTTCCTGACCGGTAACTCGTCCCAACAAGGCTGCAGGGTTTAAATAACATCCCGTTTCAGTCTCTTGGTGGTAGCTGATGTCTAGAGCAAAGGACACTTCACACCTACATGCAGCTGGCCAAGTCTAAAAATTCTCAAATGCAAGTGCAGATTCCTCACAAAACTTCAGAAATCTGGACAAAACTGGAGAATGTGTGTTTTGTTATAAAGCACAGGTCAGGGACTCCAGACAGATCACAGTCTATAGACTGAAATCAAGTGAGTCAGAGGGGCTGGAGGATCCAGTTAACACAGTTCTCTCCTTCCTTCCTTTCCCTTCCCCATCCTCTCTTCAAAAGCACAAAATCATTTTAAAGAGGGGAGACAGGCAGAGGACAGAAAGGATGTGGCCACCTGGCTCATGGCAGTGGTCAAAGCAGAACCTCAGCATCCTGACTCCTAAGACTGTTCTCACTACAGCTCATTTTGAAGACAAGAATACTTTGAACACGCCAATCAGAACCACTCTATAGGCAGGACCTCAGCAGCTAGTGAGCAAAAAGAGGTTAAAATTACACCCCTTTGAACTGAACCCTTCAACCCCCAAACCCAAAACAAGATGCAGAATAGCTCAGACTGTGCAGGCAGCAAATGGAAAGAAATAAAAACAGAAACCATGGGTAGGGCTTGGGAGGACATTTTTGTATGTTCAGCACCCAACGAAGTTCTGTTTGGCCTGCTAACAAGAAAAAGCTGATATGTTGATCTTCTTGGCAGACTACCTTGATCCCAAAACACAGTGAAAAAAAATGAACAGCAAGTTCCATTGCTGCTGCTTGATAAACAGGTCAGAATTATGCAATGTCAGACCACGTGGCAGAAAAGACTTGAGTTACTTCAGGACACAGTTACAGGATCAACTGATAAATGGTCACTCTTAGGCAAGCACTGGAGTTAGATGCACCCCTGACTGTCCTACATCCCTTCCTGCTCAATCCCAACTTGCCCATTCAATGTCAGCCTTGCTTTACACTTGACTTTTTGGGCAGATCTTGATTTCTCTACCTGAGATCAGGCACTGCCTCATAAAGCAGTGAGTGGGAAGTGGTTCTATTGGGCTGGGACACCATTTACCTCTCAGCACCGCGGAAATAATGTGGTGATTTTGCTTTCTGCTCCAAGAGTGCCAGCAGCATACACAGAACTGCTGGTAGGCACTGGACAAAACTGGCATCATGGGTACATCACACATCTGAGAAAACCAGGACCTGGATGTGCTGCTCAACCTTGGAAGCGTGTAGCATCACACAGAGGACGGATGGATGGCAGGCAAGGCAGGATGGAAGTTACCAAGAGCAGTATTTTCACTGTGCCTTTCCTGGCCTGATGCTTTGTTCGCAGTCTGGAGAAGGAAGCCAAGTGATGACATTCCCCTGTGCAACAAGGTTCAAGTGTGTCAGACTTGCCCTTGGGCACAGGAGAACAGGGAAGGCAGAACACACAGGGAGCTGTACTGAGCTCCCCTCTGATGACATGCAAGGCCCAGAGATCATGGAAAATATACTTTTCCAGTAAGTTATAGCCTGACACGTCAGACTCTTCCAGCTCTGTACTTGTTGGGCTAAAGATGATGGCAGACAGATGAACTTCATCACTGACACATGGACCATTCCCTGCCCATGCACATCCCAGAGGAGAAACATGTTCTACTGCAGCTCAGCCAGGGCCTGCAATCAGGGAAACCTGGGAAATCTGGGGCAGTAAGGAATTGTGAAGGATGCATTTGGAAAATTCATATGGATTCCACATGAAAAGCAGATGGATGTTCCTCAGAAAGAATCTGAAAATTTATTAATATGGTTTGTGTCTGTTGTATCCCGAGTAATATGAGAGGCTGGAGGCTTGTTCTTCAGGACTGACCCCAGTGACTGTTCTAGGCTTTCCAAATTTTACTTGTACCTGCTTCCTCTCTTTCGTACTTTGAAACACTTCTCATTTTTCTCCCCTCTCTATTCCTGTCCAGTATTTTGCCTGTGCCATTCCTCTTCCCACTCCTCTGGCCAGCGATCCTAGCTTCCCACAGCTGCCCATGCCAGGGCAAGTGGTGTGCAAACACTAGCTGCAAAAGGACAAGAACTTGTGTCAACACACTGAAATAAACCAAACAAAATAATTTTAATAAGATTTATTGAATCCAAAGTCCAGCAGAAACAGATGTAGAAACTTTTGCTTGTCCAGTGCTTGGGGAACGGGACGTGGAGGGCGGAGGCAGCAGCAGAGTCACTGCTGGACCACGTTCCAGTTGGAGGCAGGGCCTTTTCCATGCACTGTGCTCTGCAGGCTGCTGTTGCTCAGCCAGCTATGGGTCTTTGGCAGCAGCAGAGCATGATGTCAGTGGAGGGGAAGGTATGTTAAACAGAGGCTGAACAGATGGAACATGGTGCAGGGAGAAATAGGATGTTGCTTCTACAATGTCCTGGGCTGAGCAGTCCCAGGCAGGGACAGGACAAAAATAACTATGAGGCAGAAGCCATTGCCACAGTAGAAGTAGAACCACCCTCTGTTGACTACTCTACCAAATTCCAATGGATTTGGCTCTACAAGTGGATGTGCCTCTGGTGAACATTAGCCCAGTATAGTCAATGCAGGCCTTTGCCCCAGTGAAAGGAAGGCTGAGCAAGACCTGGTGCTCCCACAGCCTCAGAAGCCAAATGCCTGGTGATGAGAAGTCTGCTGCCTCAAGAAGCATATGGGGTGCTGCAGCATCTCAGCTGTCCTTCAGTTTTAATGTCAAACCATATGAAGCTGCAGATGCATCAGATGTTTGGGTGAGAGCAAGGAGGTTGCCTGGTTTTTCTTTATACAACTATGCTTCAGAATCAAATCAACTATTAGTGTTGCAATACATCTTTCTGTTTCCATAATGAGACTACAAAAACAGCTGCTCAGTGGCCACAGCAACCTATGTTATAGATTTGGTGTGGTAGGAATAGGGGAGGGATGGTCCTGGCATGGAACAACTGTCTAGGTACAGTCACAACACCAGCTGCAGGACAGGAATAGGACCAGGGAACAGCGTGCTTAACACATTACAGCATCTTCCTGGCAGAACTTCAAGGGCTTGGACATGTGCCCAGAACATGTCAAGGGTAAAAAAAAAAAAAAAAGCAAGCCCCTAAAACCCACTTACCCAGGGACACCAGGATATGAAGAAGCCCTAGCTAGTAACATCCCAAACTTCTCTTTCTTGTAACAGCTTCTATTTCTTCTATAAGGCGGCAAAATAACTCTGAATTTGGTAGAAGGCCAAGCCCTGCACTACAGAATCAGTGCATGTACAGAGAATAAAACCACTTCATCCCATGGAGCACAAACTTCCTAAAGTAAGGGTTGGATGGGTTCAGGTCCCATATCTTTGCAGTATTACACTGAATCCTCTACAAGGGCCTGGTGCAGTGCCCC